GGTTGACTTTGCTGCTGCCTGTCGTCTAGACTACGCTGCTAGTCTTGTTGCTGAGTCTGCGTCTGCGTCTGTCTGTCCTCCGTCCGTCGGGGGTGAGTGTGCTCTTGGCACGGACGTCCTTGAGGACAGGCAGGAGGACTTTGACTCTCTCGCGGCTGCTGTACCTCATCTCGTGGCCTGGTTGCTTGCCCCTGAGGGAGACCCGGATGCACTAGACATCCCCACTCCGCGCACTTACGCAGAGGCGATCTCGGGTCCCTACTCCTCTCAGTGGCAGACAGCCATGGACGCAGAGATGGCATCCTGGAAGTCCACAGGCACCTACGTCGACGAGGTTCCCCCTCCTGGGGCGAACATCGTCGATGGCATGTGGATTTTCAGGGTGAAGCGGCCGCCAGGTTCTCCGCCTGTCTTCAAGGCTCGTTACGTTGCTAGAGGCTTCAGTCAGCGTCAGGGGGTCGACTTCTTCCAGACCTTCTCCCCCACCCCGAAGATGACCACTCTTCGGGTTCTGCTGCACGTTGCTGCTCAGCGTGACTACGAGCTTCACTCTCTTGACTTCAGCACAGCGTTCCTGCAGGGCAGCCTGCACGAGGAGATCTGGCTGCGCCGCCCACCTGGCTTTACTGGGTCGTTTCCTCTTGGTACCCAGTGGAGCCTCCGCCGGCCAGTCTACGGTCTCCGCCAGGCGCCACGTGAGTGGCACGACACACTGAGGACTACACTTGCGGCTCTTGGGTTCGCGCCGTCTACTGCTGACCCGTCGCTGTTTCTGCGCACAGACACGTCGCTGCCGCCGTTCTACATTCTTGTGTACGTCGACGACTTGGTCTTTGCTACTGCTGACACTGAGGCACTCGCTCGTGTGAAGTCGGAGCTGCAGAAGAGACACACCTGCACTGACCTGGGTGAACTGCGTAGCTACCTTGGCTTGCAGATCACCCGGGACAGAGCTCGCCGCACCATCACCCTGACTCAGTCACACATGGTGCAGCAGGTCCTTCAGCGCTTCGGCTTCCAGTTCTCCTCACCACAGGCCACACCTCTGGCTACCAGCCACTCGCTCTCAGCTCCACCTTCGGACGAGTCCGTAGAGCCGAGTGGCCCGTACCCAGAGCTTGTAGGCTGCCTCATGTACCTGATGACTTGCACGCGACCTGACCTCGCGTACCCTCTTAGCATCCTTGCTCGTTACGTTGCACCTGGGAGACACAGGCGAGAGCACTGGGAGGCTGCTAAGAGGGTGCTGCGTTACTTGTGCAGTACATCAGGCATGGGGCTGGTGCTTGGAGGACACGACAGAGTTGTCCTCACTGGTCACTCGGACGCTTCTTGGGTGGACGACCTGGCTACGCAGCGGTCGTCACAGGGTTACACCTTCAGCCTTGGCTCTGGTTCTGTCTCGTGGCGGTCCACCCGCTCTTCCTCTGTTCTCGGCTCTAGTTGTGAGGCTGAGATCTACGCCACAGCCATGGCTGCACAGGAGTTACGCTGGCTCACCTACCTGCTGACTGACTTGGGAGAGCGGCCTAGTTCTCCTCCAGTTCTGTACGGTGACAACAAGGCGGCTCTTGCCTTGTGTCAGGAGCACAGACTGGAGCACAGGACGAAGCACATTGCTCTTCGCTATTTTCTTGCTCGAGAGCTTCAGCAGCGCGGTCAGCTTCGGCTTGTGTACGTGGACTCGAAGGCCAACACTGCTGATATCTTCACCAAGGCGCTCCCGCCTAGTGATCATCAGCGGCACTGTACTTCTTTAGGCCTTGTGTCCACGTTTCCTCACTTGCTCACTGCTTGACATTCTTTGTACTGTACTTTATATATATCTTGTTGCTTGCTTGCTAGGTTTTGATCACTGTGTTGCTTGTCTTGTACTATATCTAGCACTGCATGTGAACTGGCCTTGTGGCCTTTACTTGTGCTCGGAGTGTGGTGACGTTGTGATCCACCCTGGGCTTTGCTTTGCTTTGCTGGACTGGTCTTGTGACCCTTTGTTCTCCCCCACTTTGCCTATGGGGGTGTGTTAAACTGTATTATGCTTGTAGGCTGTAGTGGGGTAGCCAATATGGGGTACAACCCCAACTAGGGTTTCATATTTGTACCCAAAACTTCTGCTAGTTCATCCATTCTTGCCTAGTTCTCTTGACAGAAGAGTCACGTCCGCACGTTCACGTCGCATTGACTTGGGTCGAACGACTCCGGTTTCTGCGGCTTGAGCGCGCTTCGACGTTCCGGCAGCGCTTCCGCGCCAGTCGACGTGGTGGGTGCAGGAGTTGGTGCGGCATGACCATGGGGGTTAGAAGCCAATTCACGAAGCTGTTGCATTTCAGCTCGTACCTGACGATTTTCCAACGTCAACTCTTGAAGTTGGCGCATGAGTTCGGCAAGCGTGTTGCCCATGTCGTGGGGGAGAGCGTGCATGGTTTCGTCCATGTTCGCTCGACGACTCCAAGTCTGCAAGTCGGCACCGCGGGACGATGACGTCGTAGTCTCGTCGTCGACGGTCGGGATCGTTGGAAGTCGCTCCCCGCGAAGGCTCTTGATACCAAGTGTTAGGCCCGACGGCCTAAGTCCGCTAAAGAATTAGCGGGGTCGACTAAGTCGAGGATGAAACGCGGCGGAAGACTTTGGCGAAAGAACTATTGGCGAAAGAGGCGAAGAAGTTACTGAGTAATTGAAGAAGAGTTGAATGAGAATTGGTTGATAATGCCAAGTACAAGCAAGGTTTATATAGCATGCAAGAAACAAGGTTGGAAAGTGGATTGTGGGACCAAGAATTGGAGTGCAAGAAAAGTAGAGTGCCACGTGGCACTAGAGAATCTGAGAAGATAAGGATAAGGGTGACTTGGAATGTACTGTTCAAGTGAACAGTAAATCATCCCTTAACAGTCTATATGTACCAACAACCTACCAGTAATGTGATTTTGTTTTTTCTGTAAGTTTTGATTGGCTCAAGTTATGACCACCATGCAATGAGTGACTTCATCAATTGACATCAGCCATTGATTGAACACACAGTCGTGAAATCTCAAATCCCTCAACACAACAGATATGCGTACCCAACCAAACTCCTCCAATCTTAGTTCTGTCTACTTTTTCTGCCTCTTTCTCTTCCGTTTCATTCGCTCCCCTTCCACACCTTCCACCAGCCGTGTTGATCCCTTAGCTGGTAGCAACACCTTCTCTCCACCAGCACCCCAGCACCACCAGCACCGCCAGCACTGCCAGCACTAGCACCAGCACCAGCAGTACTGCCAAACCTGCTACCAGCAGAACCAGCGGCACCAGCAGCACGCCCCCCATAGCTGCTGCTGCTGTTGCATTTCCTGCCTGGCTCTTGCTCTCAAACCCCCTCTCGTCTTGTCTGTGCCAAACCCACCCGCCTCGCCTTTCATTGGCAGTACCCCTGCCACAAAACGGCCGCCTCCTATTGCCCCTCCTCCTCTTCCCATCCCTCCTCTTCCCTCCCCTCCTCGCCCCCTCGCCCCTCCTCCCCCCGTGCTGCTCCCTTCCCAAACGAAGCAACTGCAGGAGCACCAACACACCCCTTGTAGTGCTAATCCCTCCTCTCTCTCCTCTCCCCCCCCTCTCTCTCCTCTCTCTCCTCCTCTCTCTCTCTCTCTCCCTCCCCTCTCTCCTCTCCCTCCCTCTCTCCCTGTCCCACCCCTCCCTCCTCTCCCTCCCCTCCCTCCTCTCTCCCTCCCCTCCCTCCTCTCCCTCCCCTCCCTCCTCTCCCTCCCCTCCCTCCTCTCCCCTCCCCTCCTCCTCTCCCTCCCCTTTCTCCTCTCCCCCCTTTCTGTCCTCTCCCTCCCCTCCCATAACCATCTCCCTTTGTACGCTTTCCCTTCCATTCTCTCCCTTCTCCCTCCCCATTCTACTCCAACATCCACCGCAGCTCTTTTCCCTTCCTCCTCTCCCCACCCACCCTTCTCACTTTTCCCCAATGCTCGTCTGCCCATGCCTGTTCCTCCTCCCCATTTATATCCTCCCCTGTCTCCTCCTCTGCCTCCTACTTCCATCGCTCCTCTACCTCGTCCTCCTCGCCCTCTTTGCACATTGCTGCCAATAGCAGCATCAGCATCAGCATCAGCATCAGCATCACTATCAGCAGTAGCAGCAGCGGTCCCTTCCCCTTGATCATCCAAGGAGAGGAAGAAATCATCATCATCCCACCCTGACGAACCTGCCCGTCCTCCTCTTCTGCAACCACCCCACATCCCCCTCTTCCTCCTCCTCCTCCTCTTCTCCCCCAACTCCATATTCTTCCTCGTCCTCTTCCCCTTCTCCCCAGTCCTTCTCTCTTCCCTCTGCGATGCCACCACCATCACTTCTTGATGCTCCAACTATCCCTTTCAACCTCTTAAAGTTTCTTACCTTCTCCTCCTCATCCTCAGCTTCCTCCTCACTTTCCTCCTCTTCCTCCTCTTCACTCCCTGTTCTAATTTCACACCCTCCTCTCTCTCCTCCCCCTCTTCTCTCCCCTCCCTCTCCTCCCACCCCCTCCCCCTCGTCACTAATCCCGTCTCCCGTACCCTACCCTCCCTCCTCGTCCCACCCATCCAACCCATCACTGTCGTCGCTACCTGCCTCCCTATCATACTTCTCCCACTCCCTCAGCATCGCTTCTTCCTCATCCTCTCCTCCCCGTCCCCACCACCACCCCCACCCAGCCACCCGCATTACCATCACACTGCTACTCATGCCACCACCACCTCTTCTTTTTCCCGTTGCCAAGGCTAAAAATACCCTCACCAAACATTCTTCTTTTCCACATGTCCATTCCTTCCCCCTTGCTCCCCTTTTCCTCCTCCTCCTCCCCTCCTCCTCCTCCTCCTCCTCCTCCTCCTCCTCCTCCTCCTCCTCCTCCTCCTCCTCCTCCTCCTCCTCCTCCTCCTCCTCCTCCTCCTCCTCCTCCTCCTCCTCCTCCTCCTCCTCCTCCTCCCCCCCCCCCCTCCCACACCTCCTCTTCCCCCTCCCCCCTCTCTCCTCTTCCCTCACCCTCACTTCCCCTCCCTCTCCTTCCCTCCCCCCTCCATCTCACCCTCCTCATCATCATCATACACGAATACTTTCTTCTTATTCAGCCCAGCAGGAACTAGCAAACTCGTCTGCGCCTCTTCCTCCCTCCCCTTCCTCCCCTTCTCCTTCCCCGCCTTGTCACTCCTCTCCCCACCTTTCTTCCCCGCCAGTTTCTTCCTGTCCTTAACCTCCACTTCTGCATCATCCAGCAGTGATGCTGTCAGTGGGGGAGAGGGGGGAGAGAGTGCAAGGGAGCAAGCTTTCGAGTCGATCAACAGAAATGATGCTTACAAAGGGTCAATTCCCTTTCTTCCCCGCCAGTTTCTTCCTGTCCTTATCCTCCACTTCCGCATCATCCAGCAGTGATGCTGTCAGGTGGGAGAAAAGGGGGAGGAGGAGGGGGGCAGAAGGGGAGGAGAGAGGGGGAAGAAGGGGAGGACAAGGCAAGAAGCGGGGAAAGAGAAGGGAAGGAGAAATACAGGGAAAGGCAGGTACAATTTGAGTGGACAGCAGGAGGAGACTTGGCTCAGAAACGCAGGGGATGTGAGACAAAGCACACAAGTGAGACACCGAAGATGAGAGGAGGGAGAGTGTTGATAAGGGGAGGGAGAGAGAGAATGAATACCAATGCATGAGCAGAATCAGAACTGGACTAGACGTGCTGCATGCAGAGTCTGAATTAGAGATGGTTTTTGAGAATTCTCAGAGATTCACTCAAACTTTTCAGAATTTGAATTTGATGCCTCGGTTTCAGTTCGGACTCTCCTTTCTCTATCCGATTCTCGAGGCGCCTCAAAAGAGGTTTCAGTTCGGACTCCCCTTTCTCTATCCGATTCTCGGACTCCCTCAATCTCTCTTTCTTTCCCCGTGCCCTCTCCCTCTCCACCTCCATTTCCTTCCGCCCCTCAACCCTCTCCCCCCCATCTCCCATCTCCCCACTTCCCGTTCCACCCCTTTTCCCGTCACCCCTCTCTCCCTCCTCCCCGCCTTGCTCCCCCCAACTCACCAGCACGAAGCTCTTCCTCCCGCCGCTTCCTCTCCTCCCTCCGCGCCTCCTCCTCCCTCCGCGCCCTCTCCTCCGCCTCGCGTTTGTTCTGCTGCGCCAGCACCATCAGCGCTTGAATCTTCCCCCACCGCCGCTTGCTGTCCGCGCTGCTGCTGTGCTCACACCCGTGATTCACGACCACTGACACGTAGTGCCGCCACAGGGGGAAGTACTGCGGTGCATGAGATGGGGGGGTTGGGTAGGGCGTGGGAGGGCAAGGGAAGGGTGGGGGGACAAGGTGTGCTCACACCCGTGGTTCACAACCACTGACATGTAATGCCACCACAGGGGGAAGTACTGCGTTGGGGGTGGGGGGAATGCACTCACCAGCACACAGTCCAAGTACCCGCGCCACACACGCAGCTCCTTTCAGGCGACTCCAAAACCATCCTCCCCCGCCTTCCCTCCCCACACCCCCCTTCGCTGCGTCGTCCCCTCTCCACCCACTCACCAGCATATAGTCACACACACCAAGTACCCGTGCCACACATTCAGCTCCTGCACAAACTCCTCCTGCCCCATGGCTTTACAGTCACTCAGAACCACCCTTGCCCTCCTCGCCCTCCTCGCCCTCCTCGCCCTCCTCGCCCGTCCCCCACTTCCCCCGTGCACTCTGACTGACTCACCAGCACATAATCCAGGTACCCGCGCCACACACGCAGCTCCTGCACCACCTCGTCCCGCCCCATGGCTTTACAGTCACTCAGAACCACCCTCTCCCTCCTCGCCCTCTCGCCCTCGGGAGTGCCTCGCCCCTCCCCCACCTCCCCCTCCTCCTCCTCGTCATCATCCGTGTCTCCCCCGTACTCTTCCTCCCAGTTTGCTTCCCCTGCTTGCTCATTCTCCACTGCTTTCTCCTCAGTTTGCTCTCCTCCTTCTCCTCCCACCCGTCCCTTCCCTCCCGCCCCTCCCTCTCCTCCCTCCTCGTCCCCACGCTCCTCAAATTTCTCCCCGTCTTCCCCCTCTTCCTCCTCTTCCCCTTCCTCTCCCTCTTCCACTTCCTCTCCATCTTCCACTTCCTCTTCCCCCTCTTCCTCCTCCACCTCCCCACTCTCTCCCCCCTCCACCACACCGCCCGCGTGCCCTCCTCCGCCTTCCCCCCCTCGCTCAATCTCCTCCAGACGCCTCTCCAACCGCTTGATGCGCCGCATGATGCGCACTCGGTCTGGGAATACGGGTGGGATTGGGGAGAGGGTTGGCGAAGGAAAGAGGTAGGAAGGGGAAGGGAGGATTTGAGCCTCGAATGCACGTTTTCCACTCCAGCCCCCTCTCTAGCTGCTTGATGCGCCGCATGATACGCACTCGGTCTGGGAGATGGAAGAAAAGGGACGGTTGGGAGGGTTTGGGAGGGTTTGGGAGGGTTTGAGCTGCGTATGCGCGTATGCTATGCCACCGCCTCTCCAGCTGCTTAATAAGCCCCAAGATACGCACTCGGTCTGGGAATACGGGGGAAAGAGGGGGGGAGGGGGGGAGGAGGAAGGGTACGAGAAAAGGGAGCGGGAGAGGGGAACGGGGGATGTGGGGCAGGGGGAAGTGGTGAGGAGGGACCGGGGGAGAAGGGGGGGGCGGGGGAGAAGGGGGGGCGGGGGGAGTGGAGGGAGAGTGGCATTTAAGTTGCGAATGCCTCTTCAGCTGCTTGATGCGGCGAGGCGAGGAGTGCGCAGCAGGAGCATATGGAGGGGTGTGGTGAGGTGTGGTGTGGTGTGGAGGAGCAGGACATGGAGATCTGGAGCGAGCAGCGAGCGTACGAAGAGACCTGTTAGGTGGATACATGAAGGCGCATACATGAAGGATAAACAAAACAAGGCCTAATAGTTCTGTTATCCTCGCCCCGCCTAACAGAACTGTTCTTTCCAACGGGTGGGTTCTATGGAGAGGTGAGAAGGTCGGTGGGTGGGGTCTTGGAGTGGAGAGGGGAGGGGAAAGGGTGGGGTTTGAGGGGGAAAAGGGCAGTTGGAAGCGGGGAAAAGGGCTTCTACACAGTCTCATTGATTTGGGCAACTATTCATGCATGTTTCCCTTAATCTCTGCACTCGCCCATTCCCTCTCCTCTGCCCCTTAACCCCTCTCCCACCCAGTCTCCTTTCCCACTCCAACCGCCATCCCACTCCCTTTCACAACCCCCCCTCTCTTCCCCCTCCCCATCCCCCCGTCCCCGCTCTCCCCTGCGCACCGTAGAAGCGCCCTAGGCGGTACTTCTGCCCCAGCTTGCGCGCCAGCGCGGCTCTCTTCTCCGCGCGCACGCGCTCCGCGTCCCGCCGCTGCAGCTCCGCCAGCTTCGCCTCCTGCTGCTGCCGCGCCTCGGGGGGGAGGTCCACCTGCGGCGCAAAGGGGGAGGAGGGGGGTGGGATTGGGGGAGTGTGGAGGGGGGGGGGGGGGGGGGGGGGGGGGGGGGGGGGGGGGGGGTGGTTTGGGTGTGTGTGGGTGGGAGAGTGGGTGCGGGTAAGGGGGAACGGGGGGAAGGAAGGGGAGAAGTAGAGGCGGAACGATCAGTCTCCTGTCTCTCAAGCCGTAACCATCGTTGCGGGCTGATCTCTAGACGCCTGCTGCAGCCGCAGCGCGGACGGGAAACGGATGGGAAACGGACGGGAAACGGACGCGGGTAGAGGGTTTAAAGGAATGGGCTGATCGTGCGGATCGCGCGGAGCGAGCTGATAGGTTCGGATTGTCCTAACAGTACCGACGGGGAATGCAGACAGTGCGCCCGTGCGGGGATCGCGGCCGTCAGTGCCCCTAATCTTGCCTCGGCTCGAGCATCTAACTCGAGCATCTAACTCGAGCATCTAACTCGAGCATCTAATTCGAGCATCGCACCTTGCTCAGCAGCCGTTTAATGGAGCGAATCTGCGGCTTTAACGACACCTTCTCGCGTCGCACGCGCGCCTCGTCCTCATCCTCCTCATCCTCCTTCTCCTTCTCCGCTTCATCCTCAACCTCCGAATCATCCATCTCCGCTGCGCCATCCCGCCAGCCACTGCCGCGCCCGCGTTCCCCCCTTCCGCCTGATCGTCCTCTCCCCCGTCCCCTTGGTGTGCCATTGCCCCTCCCTCCACCGCCGTACCCTTCCCTTCCGAGCCCTCTTCCGCTACCCCCGCCTCTTCCGCTACCCCCGCCTCTTCCGCCACCTCTCCTTCTTCCGCCCCTTACAGCACCCGCACCACTCCCGCCGCCGCGCCCGCCCCGCCCGCGCGCAGGGCTCCGCGTGCGATAATTTGTGCCGGCTTTCCGCAGCCGAGACCTGCCAGGAGAGTTTCCAGCCCCTGCCCGAGACTTCTGGCGCGGCATGCCGCATATACGTCAGTGGTAACAGAAGGCACTGCCTGAAAGGCTCAGCCTAAGAGCCTTATTTCTGGATAGAGAGAGTCATTGAATCTTTGACACCAAGTTTCGTGCCTGTCTGTTCTAGCATGTTCCAGATCGCAGGGCTTTAGCATGTGCGGGTTGAGAGGTTTGGGGTTTCGGCTTTCTGATTTGAACAAACACTACTATGTTCGCTTTTGTGTTTGCAGAACAACTGCACTAAGAGGTGTGACATTTTACTCACCTTACACTTGCCAGTATCCCAATTCAATGCTCTTATCTTACAAGTCCATAGTACAATGAAGATATGCGACAAGTCTAATTATGTACAAGCACTAAAAAAAACACAACAATGAAACACGTAAATCCGTTCTGGATGTTAAGCTGCTGGCTTTTTTACTTGCTCAAGAGTCTGCTGTTTCACACGCTCAAACGTTCCGATCATCCAATCCCTTCCAGATGCAACGTACGGGTTCTTCATGACCTGCTGTGCAGCCTGTGAGAGCGACGCCTCTGCCGTTGCTGCAACAACTTTCGCCTTGGAAGTCACATGATATGTGTTATCCACCCTGGAAAAGGCGTTGCCGACAGAAGCAGATGCACCACTCATCCTCTCAGAGATGTTAAACCTCCTGTCAAGAGCAGCTGCAGTAGCAGCAGTCTTCTCTCTCACAGCCGCCATACTTGTAGATGCGGTTTGGCTGATGCCATGACTATCGTCCAATGCCCTCGCCTTCTCCAATGCGTCTTTACTCAGCAGATAACCAGAGGCAAGCAGAGACGCAACAACAGATTCAGATTTGCGAGTCGGTTCTGTTGAATTGTGGACTACAGCCGTATTCACCATTGCCTGCCACACACACAAGACACGACAAGTTAGGATATGTTCTCGCTATCTAAGTCGCGAGCTTCTAATGACATGGTTTTCTTCCGCACCTCTTGGGAGGCAAAGTCATAGTAATCCTCGTCCGAAAGGCGTAGCACATGGATCGGTTGGTCTCCAATGACAGTTCCCTGGAATGTGACGCAACAATTCTCGTTAGGAATTAGGAGACCGAGCATGATTGTTCTTTTCTCAACTGGAATATTATTACTCACTGAAAGCAACAGTGAAGCCTCAACTGCGTTGCCGTCCGTGAATGTCAAAATTGCACACTTTTTTGCAGGGTACGTCGATGCTTCATCCCTGCAATAAGAACCCAAATTAATATAACAACCAGAAAGTGTCTCATTCAAGATCGCGTGCAGTACTAACATTCCATGATCAGACTCTTGCGTAACTCACGATTTGAAAAATGCAGAATAAACGTCTCCAGCAAACTTGAAGAAGTCAACAATATCCTGATTAGTGACTTTAGCGGAGATGTTGAGAACCTTAACGGATTTCTGAAGGCAACAAACACGTGGCTTAGAGTCTGAACATCAATTCAGTAGCAGGAATACAAAAAGTAATGAATCCCTACCTCCATCATGACAGCTTTTACTCTACAACTTCTGTCGGACCAAGCTCCTCGTACGCGAAAATCGAAGTCACGCGGTTTGCAACGTTTCTTTGTAAGAAGATGGTGAGCCGAACAAATCGATGGAACACTCGACTCCTGAAAATTGAATTCAACACAACCACCTAGCGCCAGCGGGCCGCACCTTTCATAGTAGATGCTCCAGATTCAATTACTTATCAAGTGCTCTGCTTTGCAGAACATCGTAGCTCTTAGGGCGTGTTAAATCGCAAACTCCAAAAATTCGGCCACAATCCGTCGGGCCGTTTTTGCGAAGGTAACTAGTTCGCGACAATCGTAATTTTAGTGGCGACAGTCGCAAATTTCGTGAAATAACGAATTTGTTCGCCGTTTAAAAGGTCGACACGAAAACGACGCTGAGTCGACTCCAAAGCGGCCAAGTAGTCGTCGCATGGATTCGTCCAGCGACCAAATTTGTGATCGCGTCAAATATGAAGAATCGCCGTCAAAAGTGCGACCCCGTCGCACATACTAAACTACTGTAGTAACTGCAAATTTAACAACTTTTCCGAACCAGCCTGCAATTCGGCCACCAAAGTTGTTAAATTGCCAAAACTGTTAATTTTGGCTGTTCAAGAGTCGACTCTGATTCGGCCACCTCGTCGTTGTTCGCGAAAAATATGACGACCATTTGGTCGTCAAAAATTCGGCCACACCCCATTTTCGGAATTGTGTGGCGATTTAACACGCCCTTAGTCGAAAGCGATCCGTGGGGTACAAGCGACAGGTGGCTTTCCCTTTAACGCGTTAGACACGTCAATCAACCCATCACGAGGCGCACTTGTCCTGTCGTGTAACTCTTTTGAAGTGAGTAAAATCAAGAAACTAGTTAAGAAATCAAACTGGTAGCCCACTTGTTATGAGTTGTATTAACAATATCAAGTCGGTGTACTGATATTGACACTGTGATAACCTAAGTAAAGTAAGATTACATATAAAAATGAACTAGGAACCTCAAAAAACGGGGTTGGGTGCTCTAATGGGGCTGCCAAGTCCGGAAGTGATACAAGTCGGCTTGGAGAGGCAAGACGATCATTGGACCAGGCCTGTTCTTCCTAAATTACAGAGTTGTAAGCATTGTATTATAACTCGGTAAAGAATATCCTTACAGTTTGTAGCTACTTGCGGCTGAAAATGTAAGTCAAGCATTTATTATCACTATTTTCCATCATGTCCCATTCTCTTAACTTTATAAACGACTCCCCTCTAACGTGCTCCTATAAAGGCTTAATCGAGTTAGCCCAGCTGTTCATTATCGAGTTTGCTGGAAGATACAGATAGATTTGCGAGATTTGCAAGACTAGCAGCTGAACGGGGGGATTTGGAGTGAGGTGAGGTGGGTGTGTTGTTGTGACCCCAAAGGATTTAGCTGGGCTGACCCTCGTTGTGAGTCAGCTGCAACCCGTTACATTTTTTCCAACTTCCCCAAGTGTATTTTCCCACAACGACATTGTACATGCAATGCTTAGCGGATCACCGACTTCCGTTACAGCAATGTCGGTGATGTGCGCACCCTCCCTCTCTTTGGCAAGAGCTTTACAGTTTTCTTCCCCGCCCTCCACGAATTGAGTTATGATCTTTTCAAAGATGATCACTATTGGAGGCAGTGAGGGCACCCCTGCTTCGATGAACCAAACGGACGGAACCAGGTGAGGCAACCTTCCTCGTTCATTCGTCACGGTGTCCCCCTTGCATCGTGCGTGGTGCACCCTGTACAGCCTGACTCTGCCGGTCAGCAGCATGAATTCCTTTTCTTGCAGGACCGTCACTCCCTCGCGGCCTTCTGTGTACTGTAGTTCTCCATTCCTCTTCGTGTGCTGCCATTTCACCCCCAAACAGATTCCTCACGGTGACCGTACACGTTCACAGCAATCTCCCAGAGAGCGTTTCATCGCACCCGACGGTCACAGCAGTGCAGAGCAGAGGCAGATCAACGCCAAACAGACAAGGGGGGCAGTCGCGAGCGCCAGCCATCGGCAGCGAGGCTCAACCGCACCGACCCCCGCGTGACCCCGTGCCGCGCGTGACCCGTTTGTTCCACCCGAGCTCTAAGGGGCAAGGAGAGAAGATTTTCTTGATCAACTTGTGCTAGCGAGTCGTGACTTGAATGCCCTTGAGTCAATGAAGGTTGTCGCAAATGCCCACTTGTGTCAGGCAGTGTTTCTGCTGGAAGCCGCAAACCCGTTCCTGATGCATGCATGGTTGCTCTGCGCGCCCGCCCGACCGACGCGGCGGAGAGATGATAACAGTTCAGAAACCGACGAGGACTCTATCTAAACGATTCTTACCGTATCGAGTCGTTTGCCGTAAACATGCAGGCAGCAGCAAGGTGTGCGTCAGACGTGTTGGTTCTGTGAACAGAAACGGAAGTGACGAGAATCTGCCACATCATCTTCATCCCTTCTTTTAAGGCCACAGTAACATATTCACACGCGCGAGTGGTGTTTTCTGTAACCAGTTGCTTCGCTTGCCTGTACGTAACTTTGTTCGTCTCTCTGGAATCCGGTGCAGCGAGGTTCTTGTGCATCGCAAGTTGTAACCGTAACGGCGCCAACTGCTGCACTTGGCTTCGAACCCAGACTCGTTCCATCCAAAAACATAGTCCCGCTGACGCTGCTCACTGTCGCTGTGACTGTGCACTGTAGTGCCGAGCACAGTGTGTCCAGACCCAACTTAGGGTTCGGTTCAGAATCCCACCCAAATTCATTCCCCCCTTTGCGATGCATCCTACGGGGCGCTGCTTCTGCGCCTCTCATTCGATCATCACACCACCAGATTCTTCGGTACAGTACAGTACAGACAGACTTCGTTGGTCAAGGATGAACTGCTTCCCGCCCACAAATCAACAGCCACCGCACAGTCACTCGCCATGTTTCCCCACCATCCACAACCAATGTCCCCCCTCCTCTCCCTCCCTCCCTCGCCGCTCCTCTTTCTCGGGACCTGGACTGGACATTTGGGCCTGCCATCATTCCACCTATATTTTGGGGCCCCCTGAGTGGTTGTAATTCGTGCTTCAACCTGTGAGCACGGCCCGCCGAGAGTAGCATTTGCGGCGTATTGCTGGTCGAACCTGCGGGGGGTTTCGTTCTTGATTTCTGTTCTTACTCCTGCTGCTGGAGCTGATAGCTGTAGTAGTACCTTGTAATTTCTTAGAGAGCACTTACGAATTTCACTTTTACTCCTCAAGTCACTCGCTCACTGATAAACTCATCGTTATCGTCATCGTTATCGTAGTCCTTATCGTTATCGTCATCGTCATCGTCGTCATCGTCATCGTCATCGCCAGACATGGATCTATCCACGGCTCTCCTCCTGCTGCTCGACGGCAGCATCCGCATCCTCACGAATCTCCATTCCGACGACTGCGGCGATGATCCTGCCGCCGATCCCTCGCACCGCTCGCCGTACGCGGCGTCCGCGGAGTTCTTCCTCTCCCACTCGCTCCCTCACTCGCACCTTCATTCGCCCTCGTTCTCGGCCAGCGCGAGCCGACCCGCCGACAGTCGTAACTCACACACGGCGTCGCGTCCATTTCCGTTTGCCTTTACGTCAGCCGCTGGGGATATTATTCAAAAATCTCTTCCAGGTCACGGCGATCGTCGCGGCTCAGCGAGTCTTCCGCCCTCTCCGCGCGGACATCTCCTCTCCGCGGGGCCCCATTCCCCCGCGCAGGCTTCCCCCCCTCCGCCGCCGGCGCTTCTTGTGCGCGACGTGCTGCGCGAGTTCCCCGGATGCGCGCTTAGCACGCTAGAGTCCTCCCGCACGCACCTTCCGCAGTCCGCGCGCATCCAGGCCGGCGGGGTGTACTTCCTTCTGCCGGCGAGTCGTCGGGACGAAGAGCGCGCGCCGGCCCCCATCGAACACCGCCGTCAAGACCGTCGCGATCACCGTCAAGATCGCGAAGACCGTCAAGACCGTCATGACCGTCAAGATCTTCAAGAACGCGAGTTTGATAATGTAATCGCGGGAATCGCGGCTGCGCGGCGCGGTCGTGCTGCGGCAGGGGCGGACGCATCAGCGGCGGTCCGCACTGCAGCGCAAAATGACAATAGCGAGGATTTTAATAACGAGGACCCTAATAATGATGACTCGGAGTCATCTGACGCGCCCCTGATGATGACGTCTGTGCCCCGCTGCAGTTCCGACCCGCATGGCGGAAGGACAGACGGCCGGCGAGCTCTGCTCGAGCTCATGCAACGAGCGCAGACAATTGCGACGGCAGGAGAAGCAGGAGCAGACGCAGGGGAAGGAGGAGGAGCAGGAGAAGGGGGGAGAATTCCGGCTGCTGGTGCTGCCGGTGACGTTGTTCGCGCCGATGCGTGTGCCTCCTGCATGGTTGAGACTGCGGCGATTTTGGATCATCATGATTGCAACGATGGTTACGCTTGCTTGGCAGCCAGGCGGCACGGGAGCATGACTCCAAGAGGGTACTGTGATCATGGTCCGTATGGGGTGCGAAGGCTAGCCCACTGCTGCTCCCTCCCTTCCATCACCACCAACAATGTCATTAACAACGTCAATGCGACAAGCTCCAACAGCACGAATGGCTGCAGGATGGCTGGAAACGCGGGTAATCTCAGCGTCTTTACGTCTACCTCTGCTGGTGCTGCTCGTGCTGCTGTTTCATCTCCTGCTTCTGCTTGTGGCGGTGACTCCAGGATGGGCTATCGTTATGGGGTAATGGGGCCATTGCCTTCACAAGAAGCCATCTTGTTGAGTTCATGTGACAATCACCAACACCAGCAGCACCAGCAGCAGCAGCAGCAGCAGCAGCAGCAGCAGCAGCAGCAGCAGCAGCAGCAGCAGCAGCAGCAGCAGCAGCAGCATATGGGCGCGCTTGCAAGGAACCAGTTGAGGTGGTGGAAACAACACCACATGCGAGATGTGTCAGCTGCTGTGGCCAAGACCAGCTGCTCATAAGTGTAAAGATGTATGTGCAGTTTCTTTTTTCCTCCGAGTGAGCTTATGAGCAAACCGGAGCTGATGTGATGAGCAACTAGTGGCTTGTAGAGGCTCTGAGATTGTTCATTGGATATATAATATTGATGTTTTCCTATTCCAGGCTGTGTTGACTATGAATCATTTTTTTCAAAGGCCGAGCTGAAAGCATCTTTATTATTATCAGAAGGAATATCAGTGATGCGTGAGAATCTTTACCATTGCAGAGCCAATCACAGATCCGTGAAACTCCACCAAATCAGCAAGCCTCACTCGTCATTCGGCTGTTGGGCACCCTTTAACGCAGTTACTTAGCTAAGCCACTTTTCGCTGGGCATCGCGCTTCTCCGTGCTGATTAGTGGAAACAGGAGTGACCGCTGTGGCCTATCCAATCAATTTGACCATGGAGTCGTAAAATGTTCGCATGGTTCGTCTAAGCCTTCTGAGGTGCATTCGCCCGCTTCGCGAATGTCGGTACTACACACCACCATCACCACAATGGTAGAGGCATCTAGAAACACTTAATCGCCGTTAGTGTTGACTAGTCGTCTCTCGCATCACATCTTGACTTGATGCTCGGCATCGCAGCTCGCCGGGTCCACAACGGTATTTGCCGCGTTCCCTAATTAAAGCCGTGCAGGATCGCGTCATCGCGTCACCTTCCGCATTAGTAGCCGGCGCAGCGTCTTAACTTGCTGCTGCAAGGCGTTCGCCGCGTGGGGTGCGCCTTTTACGGGTTGCTCTGGTCGGGTGGTCGAGGATCGGTCCGTGCAGGATGTATTCAGGGCCGTCGGGATTCCGTGAGTCAAGTCTCAAGACGCGTTTGTCAGTGCAAACCTAGGAGTGCTCACTGGTCGTTCTAGTGTTCTCTCGAACAAACAAGTGCTCAGTAAAGGAGTGTTGTGTAAGCGGTGTTCAGTAAGGGTGTCCACCAATAGTGCTATCTTAGGGTCGAACGCGTTCTCTCTTAACTGAGTGCTTGCGTGCTGTGCAGCTTTAACGTTTGTTACCGTCAGAACTGTTCTCGCGCTCTCGAGTGCTGCTAGTTTTGCCTGCCAACCTCGAGACTGGCCGCCACGTGCAACGGCTCGTTCAGAACGACTCTTAGTGAGGCGACGGGGATCTTCGTTCGAGCCGTTTCATGTTCTATTTCGAGAGATTTCAAAAGTACTAGAAGCATAGCTCGTTCAAGCGCCGGCCGGGCCATTGTTTCGCGGCCGGCCGGGCCGCTGGTTTCACGGCGGGCCGGCCGTTGGTATCGCTTGACCTGTTTCGTTCATGCGTGGCTGATTTATGATTTACGCTGCTTCGCCTGGCCCGTGCGAACGTCTGCATTAGTACTAGGCCCTCTCTAGTCCTCGCGGTTTTCCCGGTAGTGATCCCCGCTGTGCGGCGCTTCGTCTTTTGAGGCGCCTCAACTATTATAGCCCCGCCATGCGCCACTTCGTTTCGGAATAGCTTTTCCCTCCAAGGCCACCGCTTTGCACTGATTTCATCTAAGCCCCCTCACAATCTCCCCCGCCCCCTCCACCCCCTTTTCCCCCCTTCTCCCCCTCCCACGCGCTGCCCAGTTTGACAGCTCGCCGCCTTGTTCTCCCCCTCCCACCTCCCCCCTCCCCCCTCCCCCCCCCCCCCTCCCCTCCTCCCCCTTCCCCCCTCCCCCTCCCCCTCCCTATCCACCACCAGAGGCCGCGCCATCAGCGAAGGCCATTCCCGCATTATTGAATTCCCATATCTTCCGCAAATCTCCATCCCGCCACACCCCGCTATACCCCCCCACATCCTCATACACCTCCCTCCTCTCCCCCTGCTGCCTCTTCTCCCTCCCGCTTCCATTCCCCGCGCGCTCCCCTTTCGCTTCACGCCATCCGTCAGAGGCCGCGCCTGCAGTTAGTGCCATCCCTTTTGAGAATTCTCAAAAGTGATTCCCAAGCCGCGCGTTCCCCTTTCGCTTCACGCCATCCGTCAGAGGTCGCGCCTGCAGCGACTGTCATCATCCTTGTGTGCTCTTGAAGCGCCTCCAAACTCCTCCCCGCCCCTCCCCCGTGCCCTCCCCCGTGCCGTCCCCTTCCTCCGTGCGCGATCCCGCAGAGGGCGCGCCAGCAACGAAAGCCACCACCATCATCCTGCTGTGTTCTTTCATTGCCTTATGAACCCTCCCGCTCCCCTTCCCCGTGCCCTGCCCTTCCCCCTCCCCTTCCTCCGTGCGCCATGCCATGCCATGCCGCAGAGGGCGCGCCTGCAACCAAGGCCATCATCCTGGTGTGCGCGGCGCTCTCTCTCGTGCTCGGCTCGCGCTCCGCACACTCCTCCCACCACCCCTTCGCACTCTCCCGAGAGGTTCGCCTTTCCCCCCTCCCCTGCACCCCTACTTCGGAGTCGACTCAAAAGTTAGCCCTTTTGTGCTCTCTCTTGTGCTCTCCTCGCGCGCCGCACACTCCTCCCACCACCCCTTCGCAATCTCCCGAGAGGTTTGTCCCCTTCCCCGCACCACTCTTCCCCCCCACCCCCCCCTCGCCCTTCCCCACAAACCATCTGCTGCTGCTTGCTGCGGCTGCTGTTTTCGCTGCTGCTTCCTTCATTACCACCTGAAACACACCCTGAGTACGCTTGCGGCCCCCCCACTCTCCCACTCCCCCATCTTCGCCCGCAACAACTCCTTCCCTTGTCCAACAGGCGCTGCTGTCGTGCGGGGAGTGGTGGCGCGTGGCCCTCTCCCAGGTGTGTGTGGCGAGCACGCACGCCCGACCTGTAAGCAACCTGCAATCCCCCCACCTGCTGCCGCTCCTTTACTCCCACCCACCCCCCCTCTCCCCTCCCCCCGCTCTCTTTCACCAGGCGCTGCTGTCGCGCGGGGAGTGGTGGCGTGTGGCGCTGTCGCAGGTGTGTGTGGCGAGCACGCCCGACCTGCTGGTGTGTGCGCTGCTGCTCTACTCCTTCCGCTTCTTTGAACGCCAACTTGGGTCTGCCAAGTTTGTGGTGAGTGGGGATGGAGATGGGGGTTTGAGGATGGGGATGGGCATGGGTTTGTGCTGCTGCTTGGGAGAGGGAGTTACGTGTGGGAGAGGCTTGGGTACCAGAATCGGGTCTGCTGGTGTGTGCGCTGCTGCTCTACTCCTTCCGCTTCTTTGAGCGCCAGCTGGGGTCTGCCAAATTCGTGGTGAGTGGTGCGGCCTCTGGTCTGGGGGTGGGGGATTGGAATACCTATGCGCATGCGCGTGGGCATGGGGATAGGGACTGAGTTTTGGCTGCTCTACTCCTTCCGCTTCTTTGAACGCCAGCTGGGGTCTGCCAAATTCGTGGTGAGTGGCGGGTGGAGATGGGAGGATGGGGATGAGACTTGGGCGTGGATAGGGTGGCTGGTGGCTGGTGGTGGGTGGTGGGTGGTGGGTGGTGGGTGGGTGGTGGGTGGGTGGTGGGGACTGGATGTGTGCGCTGCTGCTCTACTCCTTCCGCTTCTTTGAACGCCAGCAGCTGGGGTCATCTCCTCTACTCCTTCCCGTTCGTGGTGAGTCTGCTGGGGTTGGGGGATGGGGATGGGGAATGGGAAGGTGTTTTGTCTGGGATGGGAATGGTGGGGCATGGGGATGGGGATGGGATGGGATGGGATGGGATGGGATGGGATGGGATGGGATGTGATGGGAATGGGGAGGGGGAGGGGGAGGGGGAGGGGAGGGGGAGGGGGAGGTGAGGGGGATGGGGATGGGGATGGGAATAGGGATGGGATGGGAATGGGGCATGGGGATGGGGCATGGGGATGGCGATGGGTGCGCACTACTCACGATGCCTTTTTTAAGGACTGACTTTTTGTACGTGTGTGTGTGTGTGTGTGTGTGTGTTGTGTGTGTGTGTGTGGTGTGTGTGTGTGTGTGTTTGGCACATGTGTGTGATGGTTTTTGGTGCATGGTGGGGAGGCTTGCACATGTGTGCAAAACTGGTTACATTCCACTCCATTTTCTGCAGATTTTCGCTTTTCAAACCCTTGTGCACATGCGTCCATGCCCCATGCCCCATGACCCATGCCCCACGCCCCATGCCCCACGCCCCATGTCCCATGTCCCATGCCATGCCCCATGCCCCACGCCCCATGCCATGCCCCACGCCCCATGCCATGCCCCACGCCCCATTGCTCGTCGTGCCCCATGCCATGCCCCATGCCCCATGCATGCCTCTCAGGTTCTGTGCTCCTTCTCGTCTCTGGTCGCCGTTGCGCTTCAACTCCTCGCCGTCCTCCTCCTCCTCCTCCTTCCCATGCTCCGTGCCCCATGCGCCATGCCCTATGCGCCATGCCCTATGCGCCATGCCCTATGCGCCATGCCCCATGCCCCATGCATGCCTCTCAGGTTCTCTGCTCCTTCTCGTCTCTGGTCGCCCTTGCGCTTCAACTCCTCGTTGTCCTCCTCCTGCCCTGTAAGTTCACCTCTTTCATGTCTTGCCGCTCATGTTGCTACTGCTGTTGCTACTGCTGTTGCTACTGCTGTTGCTACTGCTGTTGCTACTGCTGTTGCTACTGCTGTTGCTACTGCTGTTGCTACTGCTGTTGCTACTGCGGTTGCTACTGCTGTTGCTACTGCTGTTGCTACTGCTGTTGCTACTGCTGTTGCTACTGCGGTTGCTACTGCTGTTGCTACTGCTGTTGCTACTGCTGTTGCTACTGCTGTTGCTACTGCTGTTGCTACTGCTGTTGCTACTGCTGGTTGTTGCTACTGCTGGTTGTTGCTACTGCTGGTTGCTACTGCTGTTGCTACTGCTGTTGCTACTGCTGTTGCTACTGCTGTTGCTACTGCGGTTGCTACTGCTGTTGCTACTGCTGTTGCTACTGCTGGTTGTTGCTACTGCTGGTTGTTGCTACTGCTGGTTGCTACTGCTGTTGCTACTGCTGTTGCTACTGTTGTTACTCGTGTTACTCCGCTTCTTGCGCCTGCTTTTCTTCTCTCAACAACCTTGCCCCCTCTCTTTCTCTCTCCTGTCCCTCGTACACTCCCCATGCCTTCCGCCTTCACTTCCCCCTCTTGCTCCCCCCACTCCCCTCTCTCCCCACATCCATCCACCCTGTCCCTATGCGACTTGCCCACAACCCCTCCTCCCGCCCCCCCACCCAGTCCCCTGCTCCCCTCACTGTCATCCCCAGCAGCCTCTCCCCTAGACGACCCGCTGCCCTCCTTCCCCTCGCCCCCAAATCCTTCCGTCCCCCATTCGCCCCTCCCCCCATCCCCCGCTCCCCTCCCATCAGCCCCAGCAGCCTCCCCCCTGGACGACCCACCGCCCTCCTTCCATCCGGCATCGGGCCCTCTCGGGCTGCTCTTCGCGCTCTTCCTGCTCTTCTTTGCCAATCGCGCGCTACCTCCTGCTCTCCTTTCCTCAGCACCCTTGCGCTCTCCCTTTCTCCCTCCCTTCCCTCCTTCTGCCCAACCCTCTCTTCCTCTCCCCCCACCTCCCCTCTCCCGCCCACATCCATCCCCCCGTCCACCCCCCTGCTTCCCCCCGTCCCCGCTCCCCTCTACCCTCACCATCAGCCCCAGCAGCCTCCCCCCTAGACGACCCGCCGCCCTCCTTCCCCTCGCCCCCTAATCCCACCGTCCCCCCATTGCCCCATCCCACCCATGCCCCCTTTCCCCCCTGTCATCAGCACCAGCAGCCTCTCCTCTAGACGACCCGCCGCCCTCCTTCCACCCGGCATCGGGCCCTCTCGGGCTGCTCTTCGCGCTCTTCCTGCTCTTCTTTGCCGATGTGCCTCCCACGGCACGCTACCTCCTGCTCTCCCGCGTCCCACTCTCCGATAAAGCCCTCGTGTACCTGGGAGGGCTGCAGGTGAGGCGGGAAAGGGGGAGAGGGGGGGGGTGCGAAGACAAGTAGGACTGTAGGTGATGAAAGATGTGCCTCCCATGGCACGCTACCTCCTGCTCTCCCGTGTTCCACTCTCCGATAAAGCCCTCGTGTACCTGGGAGGGCTGCAGGTGAGAGGGGGGCCTACAGGAGACGGGGGGCGTGTGAAGGTAAGTGTATGAAAGGACTGCTTGTCTCCCGCGTCCCGCTCTCTGATAAAGCCCCCGTGTACCTGGGAGGGCTGCAGGTGAGAGCCTGGGGGCGGGTGAAGGGGGGATTGTGGGTGGCGTGACGTGACGGATGGGGGGAAAGGCAAAGTTCCATGTAAGTAGTGAAGCGAGGTGTGATGAGAAGGAGTAAGGGACAAGGTTGGATGGTTGGACCACAGTTGCCCCCTGTTTTCTGTTGCCTGTTGCCCCCCCCCTCTCATCTCTAGGTACAAGATTAAAGAAAAGAAGAAGAAAGTAAAAAGATTTGGAAAAAAAGAACTTATAAGTGAAGCTATTTCCTTTCAGTGTCTCGTCTCCCTCTTTCCTCTCGCTCTTATATTCCGAACCGAAACCCCCCAGCCCCCAATTCATTTGCCTGCCAGCTTCTGTTCCTCTCCCCCCCCTCCCTCCCCTCCTTTCCCCATCCATCCGCCAGCTGCTCTTCTCCTCGGGTCTCTCCTTCATCGTGCCTGCTGCACAGGAGCTCGCCTCGCTTCCCCTCCTCTCACTCCATCTCCCCCTCCTCTCACTTCTAGATCCCCTTCACCCCCCCCCCCTGCCCGTCCTTGCGCCAGCTGCTCTTCTCCTCGGGTCTCTCCTCCATCCTGCCTGCTGCAGCGGGGATTATAGCAGGCGCACTCTATCGCTGCAACGCCCTGGGAGTGCGCAAGGCCAAGGTAGGGAGGTGAATGGGGATGCGTTGAATGCAGATCTGGTTTTTGAGAATTCTCAAAAACCAGCTCGTATCATTGAATATCATTGAATGCAGAGCTCTGGCAGTAAATGGCATGACATGGTTGAGTTTGACTTTGGAGGCACCTCAAGCTTTGGCAGTGGATGATATGTCCTGGCACGGCACGGCTTTTGAGTCGACTCAAAAGTCAGCTTTGGCAGTGGATGGTATGTCCTGGCATGGCTGAGGAGAGATAAGTGCCTTTTTGAGCTTGCCGTGCCTGTACCTACCGTGCCTGTGCCTGGCTCTTCCAACCATGCCTCTGTGACGCTCCCTTGTTCTCGAGCTTTACCATACTGCTCCCATTTCCATCATTCATTTCTCCTGTACACCTCGTCAGCGTAACCACTGTCGCTCACACCACCCTGGGTTTTTAGGTTCCTTACCCCATCCTCTGTCTCCTTGCCTTCATTTCCTCCCTCCACTCCCTCTCCCCCCCTACCTCCCCTTCCTCCCCTCCTCCCCTTCGCCCCCTCCCTCCCCCTCTCCAATCCTCCCTCCGCTCCTCCCCACCTCCGCTCCTCCCCACCTCCCTTCCTCCCCCTCCTTCCCTCTGCCCCTCTGCCCCCCCCCCATCGCAGGTGCCAGACAGCATAGCGCGCTTTGCCTCTACATGGGTAGCCCCTCTGCTGCTCTGGCCCTCGGGTTCCTTCTCGCCCTCCTCCGCTGCCACTGCCGCTCAGCTTCAGCACAGACGGCGGCAGCAGCAGCAGCAGCTGCGCCAGCAGTTGCAGCAGCAGCGAGCAGGGCACCAACACATGCCGGTGAGTATTGAGGCGACTTAAAACACCAACACATGCCGGTGAGACCGAGAGGAAAAGAAGAGTCTGGTTGCTTCACAGATTGTAGTGCTTCTCTTTTTATGTTTACCTCTACCAGTCCTTTTGAGGTATGCCAAGTCAAAAGGTCACAAGCAGAGGGCAGGGGAGCAATACATGCGGGTGAGATGAAGAAAGCACACCCGCCTTGCTTGCTCACTCTCCCACTGACTAACTCCCGTCTCGGTCTTTCCGTCCTGTCCCTTACCACTCTCACCTCCTTCCCCTCCCTCAGCCCCCCCCACCAGCACCAGTGCACATAGAATCGCGCGCACTCATTCTCTCCCTCTCTACACTTTCCTCTCCCCCCCCCCCTCCCACACTCACCACAGTCACCCCCACCAGCACTGGTGGTGGAGCAATCAGCAGCGCACATGGAGTCGCTAGTAGCCATGGGGTTTGACCGCGCAGCAGCAGAGGGGTTGCGCTCCGGAGAGCACGACCTGCTTCACTCACTCTCCTCTCCCGCCCCCGCCTCTACACCCCCACCCTCCCATGCCAGCCCCCCCCACCAGCTCCGGTGGTGGAGCCATCAGCAGCGCACATAGAGTCGCTAGTAGCCATGGGGTTTGATCGTGCAGCAGCAGAGGCAAGATCCGGCAGAAACAAAGGAAAGAGCAACCACCTTGCTTCACTCACTGTCCCTCTCTCTAACACCCTCCCCCCCTTACACCCCTCTCTCCTTCCCTCACCCTCCCACACCAGCCCCCCCCACCAGCACCAGTGGTGGAGCCGTCAGCAGCGCACATAGAGTCGCTAGTAGCCATGGGGTTTGAGCGCGCAGCAGCAGAGGGGGCACTCAGGAGAGCACGGAACGACCTGCACCTCGCCACTAACCTGCTGCTGGAGGGGTGAAGAGCGGTGCGGCGGCGTAGTGGTGCAGAGGCGTGATGCTTAGGCTGGTGTGGATTTGATGCTATAGATGCATGGTTGATTGATTACCTATGTGCTTCTGTGTGGTATGTGAGAGGGTATATTGTTCTTGAACTGGGTTGGGGGTGAAGAGGGATGCTGTTATGCTATTACTAACCTACCTCAGATTTTATACATAGAGGCTCTTGTAACGTCACCTGTCTATTAATTAGTGCAGATAGATACGTGGAAGAATCGCTAATGCAGGCAGCAATGAAGTGCAGTCTTCACTGGAAAGATGTCTACTAAAGTCAGCATCTGAAAGAGAGCGGAATACCTATAATACCTCTTGTGGACTGGAACAGTGCCCATGTTTCTCAAAAATGAAAAAAAAAAAAAGGGGTGTTCCGAGAATTGAACTCGGGACCTCTCGCACCCTAAGCGAGAATCATACCACTAGACCAAACACCCACGACCTTACAAACAAGCAATCCTACAACAGGCTACCTTTACCTCCAACCTTTTCCGACCCATGCTGTTTGCCTTCTTGCCTTCCCTAATCAACCTCTTCTTTCTGCTCTCTACTACCTTGCCAACCAATGAGGACCTGGAGCCCTCGCTTTGGGTTACTGATAGATGCGGTACCTCCACTAGCAAAGCGCCACGGCAGCGCCACATCGCCTGGTTCAGCATAGTCGATGCCCACTCTGGGCCCGACCAGTACGGAGGCGACAGGTGGCGCATCTAAAAGCTCCAAGCCCCCTGCAACGGAAAATGGTATGTAGGTATGGAAGTGGGGGGTAATTGATAAGGTTTATGTAAAAATTCAGTGTACAACATGTAAGGTCTTAACTAAGATGGTGGGATTCAGAAGCAATGGGGAGAGGAAAGCGTACAGTGATGGCGTGGTGGGAAGGATGGGAGATGGGAGGGATGGGAGATGGAAGGGATGGGAAATGGGAGGGATGGGAGATGGGAGGGATGGGAGATGGAAGAGATGGGAGATGGGAGATATGGGAGACTAGCGGAAAAAGAAGTGAGGATGGCATGATGTGTGATTCTCTTTTTGAGCCCTCTACATGTGCTGCTGAATGCATAGAGTCTACCACACATGCACCCACACAGACACGTATGGAGCGCCCCTCTATTTCTCCTCCCTCCTTTCCAACCTCCCACACACATTCATGATGCACCCAACACACATTCATGATACACCCCAAACACATGCATGCAATCACACTCCGCATGTAAACACCAGCTCGTGCACCCACACACACACTCACACTAATGCACTCACCTTCTCTCCCACCCCTTCTTTCTCCACATACACGTCCCCTTTTCCCTTCCCACTTCCTCTCCTCACCCCTCGCCCCCACACGCATGCCCCCCCCCCCCCCCCCCCCCCCCCCCCCAAACACACACACACACGCCATGCCCTCCCCCATTGATGCAGTGGCATTCGTGAGGCGCAAAAAGCAGGTAACTCCGAGGTGATTCGTGCAAGGTGCCTTGAATTGAAACACACACACGCATGACAGATTGATGCAGACTAATCCGAGGTGATTCATATGCAAGGCTCTTTATGAAAATCCCGTGCACCGACACAATTCATGGATGCATGCTGCTCTTTTTGGTCAGTATATGAACCAGGCAGAAAAGCACGCAGCCGTTTCGTGCAGTGCTCTTTCTAAACCCTAACCATTCTACGCATGCACTTCACGTACCCGGTTCGTGCAGTGGATGGTGCGACCACTGGGTTGTCAGGGAGGGCCATTGCTGCTGCCACCTGCACACACTTGTGCAAACCACGCTTTTCACACACAGATGTGCCCCCCTCTTCCCTCACCCCCCTTCCCCACCACGCACACCCACCTGGCTCGTGCAGTGGATGGTGCGACCACTGCGTTGTCAGAGCCAACGCTGCTGCCACCTGCACAGCACACACGCAACAGGCATGCATTCGAACACACGCAACAGGCATGCATTCGAACACATGCAACAGGCATGCATTCGAACACACGCAACAGGCATGCATTCGAACACATGCAACAGGCATGCATTTGCACACATGCAACATTCATGCATTCGCACACATGCAACAGGCATGCATTTGCACACATGCAACATTCATGCATTCGCACACATGCGACAGGCATGCATTTGCACACATGCAACATTCATGCATTCGCACACATGCGACAGGCATGCATTCGCACACATGCAACATTCATGCATTCGCACACATGCGACAGGCATGCATTTGCACACATGCAACAGGCATGCATTCGAACACATGCAACAGGCATGCATTCGCACACATGCGACAGGCATGCATTTGCACACATGCAACATTCATGCATTCGCACACATGCGACAGGCATGCATTCGAACACATGCAACAGGCATGCATTCGCACACATGCGACAGGCATGCATTCGAACACACGCAACAGGCATGCATTCGAACACACGCAACAGGCATGCATTCGAACACATGCAACAGGCATGCATTCGCACACATGCGACAGGCATGCATTCGCACACATGCAACATTCATGCATTCGCACACATGCGACAGGCATGCATTTGCACACATGCAACAGGCATGCATTCGCACACATGCAACAGGCATGCATTCGCACACATGCGACAGGCATGCATTTGCACGCATGCAACATTCATGCATTCGCACACATGCGACAGGCATGCATTTGCACACATGCAACATTCATGCATTCGCACACATGCAACGGGCATGCATTTGCACACATGCAACATTCATGCATTCGCACACATGCAACGGGCATGTTGTGAGTCATTCATTCCATGGGGCAGGGCATGGTACGTAGCAGTGCAAGGAGTGAGGCATGGGGAATCAGGGAAAAGGGTGGGTGGAAATGTTGAGACAGACAGGGTAAGAAATAGGAAAGCAGGAAGGGTATGGCAAGGCAAGAAGAGCGAGGGATAAAATCTGCGTCTCTCAACCTCTCACCCTTTCCCCTCCCCCCTCTTCCACCCTTCTCCCACCCACAACTTCTCACCTCCCCCTCCTTGCAGTTACCCCTTTCCCTCTCAAGCGCCTCTCCCCCATCCCTCACCTTTCCCGGGCCTATCAAAAGAGCTGGAGTCAGGGGCTTGTTTGCCCTCCGCTCCCTCTCTAGCGCCCCTCCCCCATCTCTCACCTTTCCTGGGCCGGCCAAAAGGGCCGGAATGAGGGGCTTGTTTGCCCTCCGCTCCCTCTCAAGCGCCCCTCCCCCATCTCTCACCTTTCGTGGGCCGGCCAAAAGGGCCGGAATGAGGGGCTTGTTTGCCCTCCGCTCCTTCTCAAGCGCCTCTCCCCCCTCACCTTTCCTGGGCCGGCCAATAGAGCAGGAGTGAGGGGCTGGTTTGCCCTCCGCTCCCTGATTGTTGCAATGCCTGCATGCACACAAATGGAGTGGATGTGCGAGAGGGGGAAGAGGGGGGGGATAGAAGGATGCGGAATTGGGAAAGTTACGAGACGGCTTGAACGTCTTTTGAGGCGCCTCAAGAAGGGCGTGGTTCGCCCTCTGCTCCCTGGTTGTGGCGATGACTGGATGCACATGAATGGAGTGGATGTGCGAGTGTGTGTGCGAGGTGGGTGTGCGAGGTGGGTGTGCGAGGTGTGCGCGAGGTGTGTGTGCAAGGTGTGTGTGTGGGGGAGGGGAAGAGGGCGGGGGGTTGGGTGGGTGTGCGTGTGTGCGAGAGTGTATGTGCGTGAAAGGGGGGGGTGGGGGGGGTAGTAGATGGATGGGTGGATGAAAGTTATGAGATGACTTAGAACTCCCATACACCTGCTTGATGATTGTGGGGATGCCTCGTTTCTTGCAGGAAAATCTCTTTGGAGACGTCTAGAAAGTGGTTGCTCGAGGGTAAGTTGGCATGGCGAAGAGTGGGATGGGAGTGGGGAAGAGACGAGGGGTAGACCTTTTGAGTTGACTCAAAAGGCACTGGATAGAGTTGACTCAAAAGCAACTTCCTACACATATAGGTGAACGAAAGAGGAAGGGAGTGCGAAAAAGGAAAATGGTGGATTGGAAAAGGGAAGAAAGGATGAGGGAGCAAGAGAGGCAAAGAAAGGGACGATGGTAGCAGTGAAGGAGGGAAGAAAAGGTGGAGTTTGCGTTCAGGCGAAGAAAGGGAGTGACGGAAGAAAAGGCAGGGACCGTAGTCCTGAAAAGGCACAGAAGGCAAGGAGACGACTTTTGAGTCGACTCAAAAGTCACCTCGAGATGGAAGAAAAGGCAGGGACCGTAGTCCTGGAAAGGCACAGAAGCCAAGGAGACCCTCTTAGCCTCCCCCCCATCCCACCCTTCCAACTCCCCACCCTTCCAACTCCCCACCCTTCCAACTCCCCACCCTTCCAACTCCCGACCCTTCCATTCCCCACTTCCCATCCCCAAAAACTATCCTATAATCCACCACTCCAAGCACACACACTTCTTTCCTGCCCCTCCCCTCTCTCCTCACCACTTCCCCATTATGACCCCCTCTTACCTCACCTTCCGCTGCCTCTTGAAATGAGGAGGTTTTTGAGACGTCTCAAAAACTCCCCTCTCTCCTCACCACTTCCCCATTATGCTCCCCTCTAACCTCACCTTCCGCTGCCTCTGATGCGCGCACAACGCCCACCGCCTCGAAAGCCCCATCTCCCCCGTAACACCTCACCTTCCACAGCC